TAGTAGAGACGGGGTTTCACCATGTTGACCAGGATGGTCTCGATCTCTTGACCTCGTGATCCACCCACCTTGGCCTCCCAAAGTGCTGGGATTACAGGCTTGAGCCACCGCGCCCGGCTAGATTATCATAGTTTAATTATCAATATATTTCTATTCAGGCCTACCATTTTATTCTCTGACTTCCATTATATCGCTATTTTTATCATTGCTGTATTTCCTTTGAGGTTTTTTTAAACATAGTATTCTGTTTTAATTTATTCTGAATTATCTATATGTTGTCTGTTTTGCTTTCGATAGCTTTTTTAAAAAGAACCTTTAATTTTTTTTTAAAAGAGACAGGGTTTCACTGTGTTGCCCAGGCAGGCCTTGAACTCCCAGGCTCAAGTGCTGCTCTCTCAGCCGCCCAAGTAGCTGGGACTGCAGCGTGCACCAGCACGCCTGGCTGTACAGCTCTCCTCAGAGGCTGCTCTAAGGATTTCCAGGGCCATGCTTATTAGCGTTTCACATTCTTCTTAGCATGGGAGAAGTCTGCTTTTCACTGCTTCTAGTGGTACACATAACTCTTACCCCATACGGGTTTACCCCCCTCTTTTACCTTACAGTTGTCTTGTTTATAACATGTTGAGAAATGCTGAGTGTATGACAGAATATATTGTTTGCCAGGAAGAATGACGGCAAGGAAAACCTTGCTGCCCCCCTCCCCCAAGTAGAAAACTACTTGGGACATTCTAAAGGGGCAGGACAATGTAGAAATATCACACGCCAGTTACAACAATTCCTTAAGTGCGGGACATCTGACCCTGCCCCTGTGGCTACCTCGTGAAGAATACTTTTTAGTTTGTCTGTGATCAGTGATAAGGGGGCACCACCTGCCTGCTTGGTGTATTTTTGTTATGAGAAAATACCAAACATCTGTTTGTTAATAACGATCACCTGTTCAGAGAGAATAACTGCGTGGGCCAGAGTCTGCTCGGGCCCTCAGCCTGCAGTGCTGTCAGCCCCTGCGGCTCTCAGCTCGGAAGGCTGTTGGCCCCCTGGATAGACCCACTTTGCTGTTCTCTCTGGGTGTGTGCTTCTCAGTACCTTCAGTGCCACCTGGGTGGGGGTGTCTACGGCCGAGCTGGTTGTCCGTAATATGATTTATACAATTATATATCTAGAAGTATTTTATAATTTATGTTATGTATTTATGTCATTTACATGTGTGTACACGGGAAGGCTCATCAGATAGTACTTTAATTTTTGCTTTTGACCACCAAGCACTTTTGAAGAGCTGTGGGGTCGTTGTCTGTCCGGCACGCTGCTGCTTACCCTGGCTACTGCCTCTGCTTCATGGGTCACGGCCCACGCCTCCTTCCACCTCGCTTCCTGTCAGCCTGAACCGCGGGCCGGCTGGCGTGCTCTTTATTTGCCTCCTCTGCCCACATCCTGGCTTCACCTTCCTTCCCGGAGGGCACGTTCCGCCGTGAGGTAGGATCCCAAGTTGGCACCTCCCCCCTTCAGGTGTAGGCACACTGTGTCCACCCTCTGGCCTGCCTGGTCCCAGGAGAATCCACAGGCCTCTCACCACGGCTCTGTTCTGTCGGGTGTCACTTTTCTCCTGCTGTTTTCAACATTTGTTTTCCTTTATCTTTAGTTTTCAGCAGTTTGACTGTGACGTGTCTGGGTGTGGATTTTTTTTTTTTTTTTTTGAGCTGGAGTTTTGCTCTTGTCGCCCAGGCTGGAGTGCAAAGACACAATCTCAGCTCACCACAACCTCCTCCTCCCAGATTCAAGCGATTCTCCTGCCTCAGCCTCCCGAGTAGCTGGGATTACAGGCGTGCACCACCACGCCCGGCTAATTTTGTATTTTTAGTAGAGATGGGGTTTCTCCATGTTGGTCAGGCTCGTCTCAAACTCCTGACTTCAGGTGATCCTCCCACCTCAGCCTCCCAAAGTGCTGGGATTAGAGGCATGAGCCACTGCACCCGGCCTTGGGTGTGGATTTCTTTGAATTTGTCTCGTTTGGGATCCAAACAAGAGCTTCTTGAATCTGTCGACAAAGTGTTTTTCCAAATGTAGGGAGTTTTCTGTCACTTTTTTCAGCTGTGTCATCACGGCTTGCTTTCTCCTGTTCCGTTTACTCTCATGACACAAATCAGACTCTCTCTTGTCCCAGCAGCCCCCACATTTTTTCAGCCTTCTTTCTGGTATTCAGGTTAGATAACTTAGATTGCTCTATCTTCAAGTTCACTGAATCTTTCCCGAGTTTTTTTTTTTAAAAGAGAGATCACAGATAACGAGATCTTCATATCATAAAACACAAATAGCTATTTTGTCAGACACCTAAAACTTGTTTTTTTTTTTTTTTTAACATTTCAGTAGTGTGTCTTTTAGTTTTGAAATTTCCATTTGGTTCTTTTTTATATCTTGCTTTTGCTTGCTGTTTGCTGATTTCCATTTTTTAATTCAGTTTGAAGTGCGAATGATCATTAGAGCAGTTCTTAACACAGTAGTTGCGTTAAAGTCAGATGGGTCATTGCAACACCTGTGTTATTCTGGAGTTGGAGTCTGTTGACTGTCTTTTCCTGCAGGAGCTCAGACATTGCTCGTTCTTTGTGTGCTGACTAGTCTGGACTGTAAGTGGATGGCTGGATATTACAATATACAAGATCTGGGTCTTGTTAAAATGCTAGGAGGATGCTGATATTTTTATTTTGGAGGAGACTTGCCTTCAGTGGGCGGCAGCTCCGTGTCAGTTCTGGCTTCACAGCCCCTGCTCTGCCTCTTGGACCTGTCCCCTGTGTGCCGCTGGTGGCCATCTGGCTGTGGTCTCATGGTGTGGGTGTGGAGAGGATCAGATCCACACCCATGCAGCTTGAGGATGGGCTCGAAGCTCATGAGCAATTTTGTCAGCTGTCTCTTCTGAGCTTCTTCCTCTCTACACTGGGGCTTCCCTTCCCCACCCTCAGCCAGTGCACCGGGACTGGCTACCGGTCCCTGCTGTGCACCTCCATGCCTGTGCCCGCGCTGGAGGAGGAGAGACTTGGGGCTCCTTCTGTTTAGTGTCTCCTCCAGGCCACCTGCCGCTCTTCCCTTCTTAGAATGCCGCCACCTGCCTCTGGTCCCATTCCAGGGCAGGGCTGCCCCTGAGTACCCTTGAGATTGGAGCAGATTCAGCAGAAGGCAGATTGCCCCCTCCCCCTGGAGCTGGCACTGAAGGTGTGTTTAGACAATGTCTGCCTTCATTTCTTCACCTCTGCTCCAGCTGCAGCGTGGCACTTTCTGTCCGCTGCAGCCACCCCCCACTCTTGGTGATCTCAGCCTGTCTGTGCACCTGTCTTTTCTGTCAGTCCCTAGAGTGTTTAGAGCACCACCTGGGAGGTGGCCGCATTCAGGGAGGCTCTGCTGGGCAGATGTGCCATAGGAGAGGTGCTAGCCCTCCGGCACTGTGAGGGGTAGTCAGAGCCTCCAGAATCCTCAGCACCAGCAACTTGGGGTGGGGCAGCCCCCACGGTGGGAGGGGTGGCGGACACTGTGACCCTCCTAGATGCCTGGAGAGCCTGTTCTCAGTGAGTGTGGAAGGAAACCTGCACAGGGCCTCCCAGCCCACTGGTCTGTGTGCCCTGAGGGATGCGTGACTCCAAGGACTGGTCATGCCACGTCAGCCATCTCCAGTGCCCTCAGAAGAGCGGGAAGGGGTTGGAGGCCTGGGCACCCCACCTCGTAGCTTGTCAGGTGCCCCTTCCTCGTCACAGAACGGGGGTCCTTGTGTGTCGTTCCAGCCCAGGATGGCGGCCCAGGTGACGCTGGAGGACGCGCTGTCCAACGTGGACCTCCTGGAGGAGCTGCCCCTGCCCGACCAGCAGCCCTGCATCGAGCCGCCACCGTCCTCGCTGCTCTACCAGGTGGGTGCCCAGCTGCTGCGGGTGCACAGCCGGCACTCCGACCCCACGTGACGGTTTTCCTCTTCCTTTCAGCCAAATTTCAACACTAACTTTGAAGACAGAAATGCGTTTGTCACTGGCATCGCGAGATACATTGAACAAGCCACCGTCCACTCCAGCATGGTAACACTGCTGTGTCTGTTTCTCTCTGGGAACAAAGCAAAGGGCTTGGTGAGGGGAGATGTATACTTTTTGGTATTATCCCGTAGGCTATGCAGTGAGGAAAAAGGGAAGAAAGGGAATGAAATGCCTTGTATTTTTAAGACGGTCTTTGTTTTTCTTAGTATAAAAACAATGCTCACCTTCTGAAAATTCAGTGTCTCTGGCCCAGAGAAAACCTTTGTCAGTGTTTCGTGGGCGTCCCGTTAATTTTCGTTCCCTGTCCAGATCTGCACACACACACACCAGGTGTGCGCCATGTGGGATTTAGATTTATAAATGAATCGCATTATTATAGTTCTGCTTTTTTTCCTTTTTTCTTGTTTCTTTTTTTAGACAGTCTTGCTCTGCCACCCAGGCTGGAGTGCAGTGGTGCGATCTCGGCTCACTGCAACCTCCACCTCCCGGGTTCAAGCCATTCTTGTGCCTCAGCCTCCCGAGTAGCTGGGACACTGGCGCCCACCAACATGCCCGGCTAATTTTTGTGTATTTTTAGTAGAGGTATGGTTTTGCCACGTTGGCCAGGCTGGTCTCAAACTCCAGACCTCAGGTGATCTGCCCACCTCAGCCTCCCAAAGTGCTGGGTTTCCAGGCATGAGCCACCGCACCCAGCTAGTTATGCATTTTAATGATCTCATGAACATTTTTTCTTTTTTTTTGAGACAGTGTCTCACTCAGGCTGTGCAGGCTGGAGTGCAGTGGTGTGATCAGGGCTCACTACAGCCTCAGCCTCCTGAGTAGCTGGGACCACAGGCACATGCCACCACGCCCAGCTGCTTTTTAATATTTTGTGTAGTTCAGGGTCTCGAACTCCTGGACTCAAGCAGTTTGCCTACCCAGCCTCCCAAAGTACTGGGATTACAGGCCCGAGCCACTGCGTCTGGACAAGAATATTTTCATGTCATGAAAATGTGCCGGAGAAAGCAATCCTTAATGGCTACATAAACCATTTTGTAAATGTGCACAATTCAACTATTTCTGCACATTTACTTAGTTTTCCCTTTTATCTCTTTTTATTATGTAAAAAAAAAATGCTGTTGGCCGGGCGCGGTGGCTCACACCTGTAATCCCAGCACTGTAGGAGGCTCAAGTGGGCAGATCACCTGAGGTCAGGAGTTCGAGACCAGCCTGATCAACATGGTGAAACCCCGTCTCTACCAAAAATACAAAATTAGCCCAACATGGTGCTAGGCACCTGTAGTCCCAGCTACTCGGGAGGCTGAGGCAGGAGAATCACTTGAACCCGGGAGGCAGATGTTGCCATGAGCCGAGATCTCATCACCGCACTGCAGCCTGGATGTCAAGAACGAAACTGCATCCCAAAAAAAAAAAAAAACCGAATGGGAAGCAAAAGCAATTCTACAGCAGTGATGACAGTCCTCTTCCCGTGGACACCCTGCCTAGATTTTCAGTGCTGTGGGCATGCTCTTAGCTTTTCCTTCGGCACACCTGGGGCTGGCAGCCCTGCCTCTCGTCCTCTGGGACTGGGTGGTCCTCTGAGCTGCTGAAGAGGCCACAAGGATGCTGTGTGTGCTCACACCGGGTGTGGCGTCTGCCCCGAGCCCTCCGCCTGTGTTCTCAGCTGCAGGGCTCGTGGCCAGCAGGCTGTTTAGGGCTGGGTGGAGGCGCCTGTGGCACCCCTCAGAGATGCCCCTCTCGTCTGCAGAAGCTGTGAGGTGTTTTGGGTGGTCACCGTGGCCCCCAGCGCCATACTTCAGCGTCCCTAGCTTCTCCGCAGCTGTCTCTTGGCATGCGGGCTCCGGTGCTCAGGATAGTTCATGGCGCTTTGTCTAGATACTAGCAACTGGCATCTGCTTTCCATGCCCGTTCCCCTGCCTGCCTTTGATTTGCCCTGTGTTGTGCTGCAGAACGAGATGCTGGAGGAGGGCCAAGAATACGCTGTCATGCTGTACACCTGGAGGAGCTGCTCCCGGGCCATCCCGCAGGTGCCCGCCCCCTGTCTCTTCTCCTCCGGCGACACCCTGCCAGGCCCGCCCCGCCCCGCACGCCTGGCCCACCCTCCTCCCAGTTCTTGCTCCACAGCAGGGCGGGATCTCGAGCTGTAGCAGCCCAGGGCTGCTTCTGGCTGGACTGAAGCCTCGTATGTCATCCCTGTTTCTTTATTCCCAGGTGAAATGTAACGAGCAGCCTAACAGAGTGGAAATTTATGAGAAAACCGTGGAGGTTCTGGAGCCTGAGGTCACAAAACTGATGAATTTTATGTACTTCCAGGTAAAATGGCAAAATAATCTGGGGGTCTAACACCCGGGGCGGGCTGCTGATGCCTTCCTGCCCGTCTCGGCCACTGTGAATGCCCTGAACAGAGTGCCTGCAGATTGAAGCAACCGTGACAGTCCCTGAGACAGAAGGGACCAAAGCCTTTGACAGTCTGAAGTCTCACGTGCCCTTTTGCAATCAGCGCTCCTTTTGTGGTTCCCTTGTCTTCTCTGAGAGCGAATTTGTGTTTCCTCATGGAGCCTGCTTTCTGTCATTTTCAAGTACGATGCTCTGACTTTCTGCCAGTTTGTACTTTTTTTTTTTTTTTTTTGAGACAGTCTCACCGTTTCCCAGGCTAGAGTGCAGTGGCGTGATCTTGGCTCATTGCAACCTCCGCTCCCAGGTTCAAGTGATTCTCCTGCCTCAGCTTCCCAAGTAGCTGGGATTATAGGCACCTGCCACCATGCCCAGCTGATTTTTATTTTTTTAGTAGAGATGGGGTTTCCCCATGTTGGCCAGGGTGATCTCGAACTCCTGACCTCGAGTGATCCACCTGCTTTGTCCTTCCAGAGTGCTGGGATTACAGGCGTGAGCCACCTCTCCCGGCCAGTTTGTACTTTTGATTCATCTGGTCTTTCATGTATTTATTTGCTGTCAGCTTCAACCTGACTGTCCATTTTTGGTGGTCCTCACCCTGGCCTTGGTTAGGCATGCTTTTTAAAGAAGTATTTTGGAAACATCTATATTTTTTATGATGGTGTCCTTTAGCAAAAGGATGAGATGGAACTAACTAGGAAATGAATTTTTGTTTTACCTTGAAAGTTACCAAGAGGAAAACATCCCTCCCCTTTTCACTTCTGAAAATTAGAGCATCTGAGTTTTACAGATGTTTTACGGGAGCATTTACCCAGTAATTGTGCTGAAATAATCAGCAGGATTTTGTTACTTTAGTGACGTAGTTGGTAAAGTGTAAAACAGGTGATGATGGTGCAGGCCATCGGGAGCTGCCTTCAGTAAGGGGCAGGTTGCCCACGCTGTAAACACTTTTCTAATGAAGAGCAGTGACTGCAGGTGCTGGAAGCCGTGGGATCGGCTCCTCACTGATCTGCAGTTTTCTGCCCTCCTGCCTCCTCTGCACAGAGAAACGCCATTGAGCGCTTCTGTGGGGAGGTCCGGCGCCTGTGCCACGCGGAGAGGAGGAAGGACTTTGTGTCGGAAGCCTACCTGATCACGCTGGGCAAGTTCATCAACATGTTCGCGGTGCTGGACGAGCTGAAGAACATGAAGTGCAGCGTGAAGAATGACCACTCGGCATACAAGAGGTGAGCGCGGGCCTTGTGCCACACCACGGGCCTCCTGCGAGCACCCGGCTCCGTGGCCTATCTTGCGCGAAGCACATTATGTGTCCGTGTGTGTGAAGTCATCACTTCCAGCAGGCAGCAGCTACTCCTCAGTGTCCGGGCTGTGTGAGCACCTGCTCTGAGGGATAAGGTGAGGGGAGCCGGCAGATAAGTGCCTGTGGCTTTGCAGAGCTAGAGCAGGCTCTGGGCACCCTGGCGGTCCTCACATATCATGGAGGACCTTTGCGCCCCTGCGAAGACAGACACGCGCAAGATGTAGGCCCAGCTCACACAACGCAGGCATCGGGCTCAGGGAGTATCTTGGCAAGGTGCCAGGTAGCCTCTGCAGCCCCTTGGACATCAGGGCTTCATTCCTTGGTGCTGGTCACTCACCAGCAGGAGTCCCCAGCATGTGAGCCACCTTCCCAGTATCATAGGGACAGGGCCCATGCACAGTCACGGGGTGTCTTGAGGTCACACTGCGCTTCAGGGTCCTCCATGCAGCTCCTGTCCCTGGCGGTTTTCTTTTTGGATGTAGAGAGCTTCTAGAGATGCTGACAAGACAAGCAGAAGAGGTGGGCATGGCCCGGTGTGTGCTCCTGGAGCATTGCGGGGTGGTGGGTGGCAGACGGCGTGCTGGCTCCCACCCGATGCGCTGGTTCTGCTTAGCCTGTGCTCTGTGCTATTGAAGACATGTTTTGCTGGAGTGAGATGCTGACTTCTATTTCCTCTACTAAGTGAGGCATCTCAGCTCTAAAATTAAATTTGAAGAGACCTTACTTTGCATCTCAATATGCTCTAGTTATGTTTCATTTTAAGTCATACAACTGTTGCTATGTCTTTATAAAAAAAAAAAAAATACCCCACTTGGGACAAAATGAGGCAGCAGTAGGAGTCGAGCTAGGTCAGGCAGAATTTTAAGCCTCATTCGTGTGAAATAAGGCAGTGTTCCATTTATCACCTAAAATCACCAGCTCTGCACAGAAGCCTAGATCTTCAGAACTAGAGAAAGGCCTCGGGTTGACCTGTGAGCCCCTCTCGGGTTGGAAGCCTGAAGGGTCCCTGTTTGATAACAGCATCTGTGGGATTCTGGCCCCGGGACTCACCGGTTGGCGTGGGCTCACGGTCCCAGCCGACAACCCAGTCCTGTGTGATATTCAGCAGCCTTCTCAGCCACTGTTTTGGCTTTTCAGGGAAATAGGGGAGATGGCCAGCATCAGTGGTTTTCAATATTTAAGAGTACTTAAAAGTTGTGGATTGTTTTCCTTTGAGCAGCAGCGCCTTTATTCTAAAGTCTAGTCTGTAAAACAGTTTACAGATGGGGCTGCTTTGTGCAAGGTGGTGGCGAGGAGGATTCCCCTCCAGCAGCCCCTTCCCCAGTGTCTTCGCCACCTCCATGTTCCCCTGAGCACCAAACAGTGGGCCTGGGGCAGCTCCATAGCTCTTACAGCTGCCTCTTCTTCTGACCTCTGTCTGGGACCCCTGTTGGTTCACCTTCCCAGACCATCACTCCCAAGACCCCCGCCACACACACTCACACGTGCACCTGACTTTTTTGGTACCTGCTGGTACCTACTAGTATAACCTCTTCTAAGTGTCATTGCCAAGACACTCGTATGGTTATGGTGAGGCTCGAGGAGAATAGAAAATAGTATCCTTGACCCTTCCTTAGTCTCCCCACCCGCTGCCTCAGCAAGTACTCAAATCAATAAAGCAAACATGGCCAGGTGCAATGGCTCACACCTGTAATCCCAGCACCCTGAGAGGCTGAGGCAGGAGGATCATTGGAGCCCAGGAATTTGAGACCAGCCTGGGTAACATAGAAATACCCCATCTGTTTTAAAAAAAAAAAAAAAGCCAAAAAACACTAGCCAGGCATGGTGGTATGCACCTGTGCTCCCAGCTGCTCAGGAGGCTGAGGTTGGAGAATCACTTGAGATTGGCAGGTGGAGGCTACAGTGAGCTGTGATTGTACCACGGCTCTCCAGCCTGGCTGACAGAGTGAGACTCTTATGTCTATTTAAAAAAAAGGAAAAATTTTTTTTTGAGGCAGCATCTCACTAGCCCAGGCTGGAGTGCAGTGGTGTGATCTCGGCTCACTGCAATCTCCACCTCTCCTGGATTCAAGCAATTCTCCTGCCTCAGCCTCCCCAGTAGCTGGGATTTACATGGGCGAACCCCCACGCCCAACTAATTTTTGTATTTTTAGTAGAGATGGGTTTTCACCATGTTGTCCAGGTCTTAAACTGCTGACCTCAAGTGATCCGTCTGCCTTGGCCTCCCAGAATGCTGGGGTTACTGGTGTGAGTGACCATGCTTGGACCAGGAAACATGTTTTAAAAGGCAAGGAATGATACTGTATCAGTTAATATTAGGTTTAACTCTATGTAACGGTTTAAAGCCCAGTGAAATAACAGTGGCTTTAAAAAGATTGCAGTTTGTTTCTCTGTCTCCTGAAAAGTCCTGACTTAGGTGGTCTGCAGCTGATTGTGGGCTCTGCAGCACTCAGGACCCAAGGCTCCTGTTGTCCTGCTGTTCTGCTTCATATGTTGCCTCGTGGTCCTAGATGGTTGCTTAGGCTCTAGCTGTCGTTTCTGCATTCCAGTCAGCAGGAAGAAGCGGGAAAGATGGGCTCCACGCTTCTTTATGAGTAAACTTTTGAGTGAGTGCTTGTCAGTGTCTTGCATTATATCTCATGGCCCAGTCTGTGGTCACATGGCCATAGCCAGCTGCAGGGTAGGCAAGGCACACGGAATGTGTGGGGCTCCCTGGAATGTGTCTTTCTTGCATGGAAATGTGGGGCTCATTCCTAAAGAGGAAGGGCAAGAAATGAAGGTTGGGATAAGTTATCAGTCTTTGCCATGGGACCTTTTAAAACTAAACCTGCAAGGCTCTGGGTTGCATACACCTATCCGTATGTGGGCCGTTTCCACTCAACCTTCTTGGGGGTCCAGCCCTAGATGATCAGAATCCTCACACCCTACCTTCGCCCTGCTCTGCCAGACCTCACAGCTCAGCGTGGCCTTGTGGTTTTGTATTGTTGGGCCTCGTTGTACGGGTCCTTTTGTGCACACCAACTTGTGTAGCTACAAATTGGTGGCAAAAGCCAGGGCTCTGTCTCAGGGCTTTGGACACCAGTGGTCCCTGAGGTGGCCTGGGGAGGTGTGGTCCAGAGGGTTCCGGCAGAGAACCTCATCAGTGCCAGCTGTCTTCATGGCAGGGCTTGTAGGAGTCACGGAGGTGGCGGTGACTCTTTTCAGACTCAGAGTCCAGGAGCCCTGTGCCCCTAGATGAGGTGGGCGTCTACCAGTGTACAGGGGCCCTGCAGGAAGCCCGTCAGCTGTGACCATCAGGGTGGAGAGCTGTCCCAGGCTGTGCAAGACACGTCTAAGTTGGCAGAAGACTGACCTGGAGTACAGGGCCAGAGGTGCCTGAAAAGGCTGAAATCATGGCTGGCCTCTGAGATCAATCCACATTTCTGCAGATGACTGTAGAGGAAAGGGATCCCATTCAAACCAGGCATTTTTTTTTTTTTACGGGGCGCACTGGTGCATTTTGGGATGAACTCTTTTTGTTTTCAAAGGGCTGCTCAATTTCTACGTAAAATGGCAGATCCGCAGTCCATCCAGGAATCGCAGAATCTGTCCATGTTCCTGGCCAATCACAACAAGATCACACAGGTAAGGCTGGTGTTTGCACACTCAGGTTGACGGGCTCAGCTGCCGGCTGGGCACCAGGCCCGTGCGTGAGTCTCTTGCTCTGCGTTTCAGTCTCTGCAGCAGCAGCTCGAAGTGATTCCTGGCTACGAAGAGCTCCTGGCAGACATCGTGAATCTGTGTGTGGATTACTATGAGAACAGGATGTATCTGACGCCCAGTGAGAAACACATGCTTCTCAAAGTACGTGTGTGGCACTGCCGAGGGACGGCCTTGCTCTTGTCAGTAGGCTGTGCTTGCTTTATCTAGAGTCCTTTTGCCAGCCTTGTCTCATTCGCTTGCTGTCGTGTGCGTGAACAGCGCCCTGCCCTTGCACACACCTGCACGACAGGCTCTCACATACCCACGAGTGTGTCACACGCTGACCCTGGGAGAACGTGCCATCCAGGAGATCTGGTCCAAAAATTCTCTCAGCATTAAGCTGCTCTATTGTTTTATTTTGAGACAGGGTCTTGCTCTTGACCAGGCTGGAGTGCAGGGGCACGATCACAGCTCACTGTAGCCTCAACCTCCTGGGCTCAAGCGATCCTCCCACCTCAGCCTCCCAAGTAGCTGGGACTACAGGTGCATGCCACCATGCCTGGCTAATTTTTAAATTTTTTGTAGAGAGAGAATCTTGCTGTGTTGCACAGGCTGTTCTCAAACTCCTGGGCTCGAGGAACCCTCCTGCTTTTGCCTCCGAAAGCTCTGTGATTACAAGCTTGAGCCACTGCACCCAGCGTTGTTTTTTTTTTTTTTTTTTTTTTTTTTTTTAAACAGGGTCTTGCTCTGTCACCCAGCCTGGAGTGCAGTGATGCAGAAGACACAGCCCACTGTATCAACCTCCTTGGCCCAAGTAATCTTTCTGCCTCAGGCTCCTGAGTAACTGGGTCCATAGGCACTGGCAGCAATGCCAAGCTAAGTTTTTGAATTTTTGTAGAGATGAGGTCTCAGTTTGCTGCCCAGGCTGGTCTTGAACCCCCGGGCTCAAGCAATCCTCTTGCCTTGTCCCCTGCAAAGTGCTGAGATTGCAGGTGTAAGCTACCACGCCCAGTCTTTAAGCTGCTTTGTGACAGAGGTTATCCAAGATTCTACTTGTCAAGGATGTGATTCCTAGGATTTCGATACCTGTGTCATCCATCACAATTAAAGTAGCCTTTTGTTGGTTCACCATATTCTTTATTTTCATATAATCTGTGTTTTCATCTGTGTTTCTCTTTATTTTGAGACAGAGTCTCGCTCTGTTGCCCAGGCTGGAGTGCAGGAGTGCAGTGGCGTGGTCTCAGATCGCTGCAACCTCGATTTCCTGGGTTCAAGCGGTTCTCCTGCCTCAGCCTCCAAAGTAGCTGGGATTGCAGGCGCCCATCACCGTCATGCCTGGCTATCATTTGCGTTCCTCACAGGAAAGATGGGCGGCAGTTCTATTTTTTACCTCTGCAGGGTGACCTTGGGGGACCCTTTGCTGGGTGTCCCACCAGTCCAGCCCCCCAGACTCTTCCTGAGCAGGAGAGCACTGGCAGGAGCTCAGGGCTGAAGGAGCACTGTCCATGGAGTGCTTCGTGACAGCAGAAACCTTGTGTTTGCACCAGCTGGTGTGGGAGCCCTGGCCACAAGCCCCTGTGGAGCACTGGAGCATGCAGTTGGCTAGTCCACATTAAGAATTTTTAGTTTCTGGCCGGGCATGGTGGTTCATGCCTGTAATCCCAGCACTTTGGAGGCTGAGGCGGCTGGATCACTTTAGGTCAGGAGTTCAACACCAGCCTGACCAACATGGTGAAACCCTGTCTCTACTAAAAATAAAAAATAAATAAAAATAAAAAATTAGCCAGGCATGATGGTGATGGGTGCCTGTATTCCCAGCTACTTGGGAGGCAGAGGCAGGAGAATCGCTTGAACTTGGGAGGCGGAGGTTGCAGTGAGCTGAGATTGCACCACTGCACTCCAGCCTGGATGACAGAGCGAGACTCCATCTCAAGAAAAGAAGAATTTGTAGTTTGCATACACGAAAATGTAACTGGTTACATGTGGCTACACATTGGACATTACTTTTAATGGCATAAAAACCACAGTTGCTTTTGCACCAAGCTAACAGCTCTAGGATAGCCCTACTGCTCGGGTTACGCTAGTATAGGATTTGTTTTTTTAGCTTCTAGCAGCCAGCCTAGAAACCCAGCCCCACTTTGTAGCACGGTTTCAGTGAGGATGAAGTGATGCATTCTGAGCACCAGACAAGCAGCCTAAAGATAGAGCTTTGTGATGCGTTTCGCATTGTGCCTTCGAAGTTGTCAGCTGTTACAGTGTAAGTCCTTATGGGTAATTAAATTTGCAGTTCTGAGCTTTATCACGTCTTTCATTTTGTGGCTTTTCAGGTGATGGGATTTGGTCTGTACCTGATGGATGGGAGTGTCAGTAACATCTATAAGTTAGATGCCAAGAAAAGAATAAACTTATCCAAAATTGACAAGTACTTCAAGGTGAGCTACATGTTTTTAGATCAATGTTTTTATTGACTCGTGTGCAGTGTGAATTTTGGGGAAGTGAGTCCTGTGTGAAAACCCTGTGTGAAACCGTGATCTACATCAGGAAATGCTGAGGCTGGATGGAGTTGGGGGCACGCGCTTTCTCCTGTCTGCAGAGGCAACGTCGCTCTGTCCTTCTGCGCTGCACTGGTTTTGCCTGGGTGGAGCTTTATACAAAGGGAATTGTCACCAGCCACCAGTTGGTGAGGTGCGTCCTGGAGGGAGCCTGTGGCTCTAACTCATAACTTTCCATCGTGGTGTAGCTTTCCATCTTACGACTACACTGTAACTTCTCTGTTCCAGTGTTGAGTGCCCACTGTGGGGTGCACACCCAGGAGGGGACCGGGGGTCACAGGGCGTGTCTGTTTTCAGGGTTAGTAGTTACCTACGGCCTGACGACTTTCCAGCACAGGTGTCCTGATCTGTGTTCCCATCAGCAGTGAGAGAGAACTCCCTGGTGCCACATCCTTGCCAGCACTGAGCACTATTTTATCTTGCGGCCTGGGCATCCTGAGGATGAATATGTCATTGCAATTGTATTGGCCAGTGTTTCATTGTAGGTTTGTTGATGTTTCCCTCATGGCCTCCCATGTTACTAGTGTGTTCCCTCTGTGGTGTGCCACTTCAAGACTTCTCATTTTTCCCTGTTGATTTGCAGTTCTTTATATACTCTGGATACATGTCTTTTGTTGGGTACAAGTGAGATTTTTTTTGGTTTGTTTGGATTTTTTTTTTTTTTTTTTTTTTTTTTCAATTCTTTTTTTTTTTTTTTTTTTTTGAGTCAGGCACTTGCTCTGTCATCTAGGCTGGAGTGTAGCAGGCCACGGTGATTCCTCCCACCTCAGGCTCTCAAGTACCTGTGAGTACAGGCGCTTGCCAGCATGCCTGGCTAGTTTCTAAACTCAGTGGTGACAAGGCCTCCCCATGTTGCCTAGCCCTGACCACCCGAAGTGCTGAGGTTAGAGGCCTCAGCCACTGCACCGGGCCTTAAGTTTTAACATACGCGTATTCTCCCCAAGAGGATCACCCTTTCACTCTTTTCCTAGCTTTGTTAAGATATAGTTGACAAATAAAAATTATATATGTTTATGGTGTACAGTGTGATGTTTTGATCCGCATACCTGTCGTGAAATGATGAATTCAAGCTGATCGACATGTCCATCACCTCACACGCCATTTTTGTGTGTGATGAGAACAGTTAAGCTCTGCTCTTTCAGCACATTTCAGGCTTTCAGTGCGTTATTAACCATAACTACTGTCCCACAGATGAGGTCTCCAGAACTTACCTGAGCTGCGAAATTGAAACCTGCATGCTTTGACCAATATATTCCCTTCCTCCTCCCACCTCCAATGGCTTTTTTGCCTTCTCGATGGTGTTGCTTGCTGAACAGAAGTTCGTAATTTTAGTATAGTCCCATAGATGAATCTTTTCATTAATGTCTGCCTAAATAAAGCTTTGTTGACATCCAGCTCATGAGACTTTTCTGCTGTGTTAGCTTCCAGAAGCATTCTGTTTCCTTTTTCATCTAGATCTGACCCCCCTGGAACTGGCTTCTGTGCATGGTAGGAGATGGGGGTTTCATGTCCTTGGATCCTTCCCAGGGTGGCTCCCCAGCTGGGCCTGCCCATTTATTGCAGAGCCCCTTGTTCTGCAGTGCTTCTCAGGTCATGAATCCGCCTGCGGCTCTGTCCAGGTTCTCTGTCCTGTCCACAAGGCTCCCCCGCTGTTCCAGGCCACACTGCCTTCATGGTTATAGCTCTCTAACAGGTCTCCTCATCTGAAAGGATGTGTCTTCCAGTTTTGTCCTTTAATACTGTGAGCCAGCTTGGCCGTAGAGATCCCCACCCGGCGCTGAAGGAATTGAGAGGCAGACACCCAGATAGAGCAGCAAAGTGGATAGTGCTGTCGGGGACAACAGCCTTCTGAGCAGAGAGCCTCAGGGGCTGACAGCATTCCAGGCTGAAGGCCCTGAGTAGACACTGATCCACGCATTTATTCTCTGAACAGGTGATGATTATTAACAATAATTGGTATTTTATCATGACACAAAATATACCAAGTAGGCAGCTAGTGCCTGCTTACCACTGATCACAGAGAAACAAAAATATTCTCCGCAAGGGAGCCACAGGGGCAGGGGCAGGTGTCTTATGTAATTGTTTTAACTGGTGTACGATATTTATACGTTGTCCTGCCGCTCAGGAATGCCCCAAGTAGTTTTCTACTCTGGGGCAGGGGTTGGCTAGGTTTTCCTTCCCACCGTTCTTCCTAGCAAACAATACATTCTGTCATACACTCAGCATTCATCAGTATTCATAAACTTAACGTTTCTCAACACTTCAAGATAGTCTCAGGTATCATCACTTCATCTTTGGAAATGCATTTTAGAATTGGTTTCCTGATTTACACACAATTCCCCCCGAGACCATTCTTTTCCTCCTGGAATATTGCTTGGGATTGACCATAGATCCGTGCTGAGGGAATGGACATTTAAAAAATAGGAACCCTTCCTAGGCACAGACATGATCTATTTCTCCATTTATTGAGAACCTTCTCTAGAATTTATGGGGTAGTATTTTTGTTTAGAGGTAGAATTTATGGGGTAGTATTTTTGTTTAGAGGTAGAATTTACGGGGTAGTGTTTCTGTTTAGAGGTAGAATTTACGGGGTAGTGTTTCTGTTTAGAGGTCTTGCACATTTTTTTTGTTAGATTTACTCATGCATTATTTATTTATTTTTGGTGCTATTGCGAAGTATTTCTCTTTAATTTTTGGTATTCTAATTGTTGCTCGTATATAGAAATACCGCTGATTTCTTCGTGACTGTGAATCTAGCAACAGGGTAGGCTAATTTTAACATTTGAATAGGTTTTGTAGATGTTGGTTTTAAAATTGTATTTTGTTCCTCTCAAACCGAATGTAGAAGTTACTTATGGTTCTTTTGTAATGAATTATTTGCAGAGGCAGCATTCAAACCAGAGTACTTAATAGCATTGCACAGTTTCCCTGTGCTTGTGTATTTGGTGACTAAACATACATAATGACCCTATTTTTTTGTTCTTTGAATACAGCAACTCCAGGTGGTTCCACTATTTGGGGACATGCAAATAGAACTGGCAAGATACATCAAGACCAGCGCCCACTACGAGGAAAATAAATCTCGGTAGGAGGAGAGAAGAGCCACCCGTGTGAGCTTTCTTCAGTGTCCTCAACATGCAGTTTGAGGACATCCTGCTTATTTATGTAGAGATAACACTGTTAACAATCCCAGGCTGGGGCTGAATGTCCAGTATTGTAGCCTCTTTCCCATATGTGGCTGTTTACATTTAAGTTTATTGAAAAATACAATTGAAAATTTCATATCCTTAGAACAGCCACATTTTGAAATGTTCAGTAGTAAGCTGGGTGCGGTGGCTCACCCCTGTAATCCTAACACTTTGGGAGGCTGAGGCAGGCAGATCACCTGAGGTCAGGAGTTCGAGTCCAGCCTGACCAACATGGAGAAACTCTGTCTCTACTAAAAATACAAAAATTAGCCGGGCATGGTTGTGCTTGCCTGTAATCCCAGCTACTTGGGAGGCTGAGGCTAGAGAATCACTTGAACCCAGGAGATAGAGGTTGCAGTGAGCTGAGATCATGCCGTTGCACTCCAGCCTGGGCAACAAGAGTGAAACTCAAAAAAGAAAGAAAGAAAGAAATGTTCAGTAGTTGGTAGCTACCGTGTTGGACAGCACAGTTATAGAACATTTTCATCATCCTAGGGATCCCTATTGGACAGTGGTGGGTGATAGTCTTTATAAAGGTTGTCTTAAAAAAAAAAAAAGAGGGCAGGGTGTGTGGCTCACACCTGTAATCCCAGCACTTTGGGAGGCCGAGGTGGATGGATCTCTTGAACTCAGGAGTTTGAGACCAGCCTGGGCAACACGGTGAGACCTCATCTTTACCAAAAAAATACAAAAATTAGCTGGGTGTGGTGGCACACACCTGTAGTCCTAGCTACTCGGGAGGCTGAAGCGGGAGGATCACTTGAGCCTGGGAGGTGGAGGTTGCAGTGAACCAAGATGACTCCACTGCAGTCCAGCCTGGGCAACAGATCAAGACCCTGCCTCAGAAAAAACAAGAAGAAACTGACAGTATGTCAGATGTGACATGTGCAGGCAGTGTGGCCCTAACTGTAAACTGCATACCATCAGCTCTGTGTGGAGAACCGCCAGCCCCACTATAGGGATCCACAGCACAGTTCCAGGTGCTGGCAGACCGTGGTCCTCGCACTGCAGACTCTACAGAGCCATCTGATCCTCAGGGGAGGCTTTCCTGCACTTTTACTGAGCACTGTGCCCATAGCCAACCTGTGGTCGCCATTCAGCCGCGATTTTGACAAAGTTGCATCTCAGTCTCGGGTTGAGAACCCTTTTCAGTAAAGGACAGACAGCAAATATTTGAGGCTTGACAGGCCACAGGTGGTCTCCATTGTGTATTCTTCTGTGGTTTTTAACAACGCTTTAAAAATGTAAAAGCTGGCCAGGCGCGGTGGCTCAAGCTTGTAATCCCAGCACTTTGGGAGGCCGAGGCAGGCGGATCACGTGAGGTCAAGAGTTAAAGACCAGCCTGGCCAACATGGTGAAACCCTTACTAAAAATGCAAAAATAAGCCAGGTGTGGTGGTGCATGCCTGTAGTCCCAACTACGTGGGAGGCTGAGGCACGAGAATCGCTTGAACCCGGGAGGCGGAGGCTGCAGCAAGCTGAGATTGCGCCACTGCACTCCAGCCTGGGCCACTGAGCAAGACTCCATCTCAAAAAAAAAAAAGTAAAAGCCGTTTGTGTGTCTCAGGCACCACGCCAGGCATCCTTAACTGTCCCCGTGCGGTGGCTGCCAGCACTTCTGCAGGTAACACAGGTGCTTTCTCTGTGCACAGGTGGACGTGCACATCCTCCGGCAGCAGTCCGCAGTACAACATCTGTGAGCAGATGATCCAGATCCGTGAGGACCACATGCGCTTCATCTCGGAGCTGGCGCGCTACAGCAACAGCGAGGTGCGCCCCACGGCGCGGAGCCACACGGGCCCCCGGGGGTCGCCTGTGTGTCTTAGCACCCAAATCTTAGGTTTCACTGCTCTGAAAACAGTTTACTACCAGATACAGTGACATGTCACACAATGACAAGGACAGGTGCTGATACACGTGTCGTTAGGCGTTTTCCTCTCTGTGGGAACGTCATCGGGTCCTCTTGTTAACCTGGATGGCACAGCCCACGGCACACCTAGGCCACACACCTATGGAGCACGTTGCTGTGCGGAAGACTCTGGGTAGTTGGAACACAATGGTATGTCTCTGTGTATCTAAACATGTCTAAACATAGAAAAGGTACAGTGAGAAGACGGTATCATGCTCTTCGGGACCACCGTCCGCACACTGTCATTGCCCAAGGGTGGTGCGTGACTGCACTTCGAAAGCACCCTTTGTAATTGACAAGGCAGTGAAATCCGTGTGGTCTCTGTTCAGCTCTACAAAAAGCATCTTTTTAAATTTTTTTCAGGAAAACATAATAGGGATCCCAAGAGAAAGGACAGAGACAAGATAATTAAGTAGTATTTCCTAGTCTAGTACCATGATTCCAAGCAACTGGAAAGATGGGTAGAGAAGGGAAGACACTGGAATGAAAGGGTGTTTCTGACCCGGGACCCCTTTAAGTCTAGAAAGGAAGGAAATCCTGAGGCCAGGGGTGAGCAGGAGCCTCTGGGCTGCTGTCAGGAGACCGCCCGGGGGCGTTGGGTCTGTGTGTCCAGGACGCGGGCCTGGAGTTGGGTGCAGAGGACAGGTGCCATCTCTCTAGCTCCTTCCAGCTTTGCAGCTGGGTTCGCCATGTCTGCGTTTTGGCTACTCCCATTCTCTCCACCCACCCAGGTTGGCTGGGAGCCACAGCTGCTGGCGTGTCCTTGCCGCAAGTTGCTGGCAGGGACCGCAGGTTTTAGGGCATATGCCCAGGCTGCTTTGCTGGACTGGTTGCTCTTTAAAGGGTCTCAGGAGGACTATTGACCTTAGCAGGGACAACTCTGTGGATGTTGGCCCCACCTACTGTTCTACTGCATGACGATGAGCACCCCTGTCCCCCACCTACTGTGGTTCCCAGTCATGATGTAACCAAAATGACTGACAACCCAGTAGTCTAGAAATCTTGGGTTATCTGCTGCTTCTAACAGACACCCCTGGTAAGTGTTTGGGCACGTGAGACACGGAGGCTGTCTGGGTGGGAGGGTGAGTGGTGAGTGAGTGAGTGGTGAGTGTGAATGAGAAGTCCTTGGACATTACTGGGCAATCGTGTAGACCTTAGGAACACTGTATGCTTAGGCTATGCTAAATTTTTTAAAAGTCATTTTCTAGCCAAGCGGTGGTTCACGCCTGTAATCCCAGCACTTTGGGAGGCAGAGGCAGGTGGGTCACGAGGTCAGGAGTTCGAGACCAGCCTGACCAACATGGTGAAACCCCATCTCTACTAAACGTAGGAAAAAGGTAGCTGGGTGTGGTGGCGTGCGCCTGTAAATGCAGCTCCTCAGGAGGCTGAGGCAAGAGAATCTCTTGCACCCAGGAGGCGGAGGTTGCAGTGAGCCGAGATTGCGCCACTGTACTTCAGCCTGGGTGACAAAGCGAAATTCTGTCTCAAAAAAAAAAAAAAGTCTTTTTTCTTTCTTTAATAGCAAATTAGCCTTAGCTTACTGTAACTTTTTTACTTTATATACTTTTCATTTTATAAAGAGCTTTTTGGGCCGGGTGTGGTGGCTCACGCCTATGATCACAGCACTCTGGGAGGCCACGGTGGGTGGATCACCTTAGGTTGGGAGTTCGAGACCAGCCTGGCCAACATGGTCAAGCCCCTTAGTTTTGGCATCTGACTGTAATTGGTTCTCTGGCATTGTCTAAGGTAACAAATCAGTTTTTTTCTGAATACTATTTTGAAGTGATTCCACTTTAGGTTTGTTGATTTTCTTTTTTCTGAAAGCTGAACATCCTGGTGAGGGATGCCAGCATAATTTGATTTATGTCATAATCTAGTCTTCAAAAAGCAATGCCAGCACTACTAATTACAGCGACTAGAAATTGCTTTAGGATTTATAGGCCGGGCGTTGTGGCTCATGCCTGTAATCCCAGCACTTTGGGAGGCCAAGGTGGCCAGATCATGGGGTCGAGATCAAGACCAACCTGGCCAATGTGGTGAAACCCTGTCTTTACTAAAAATAAAAAAATTAGCTGGACGTGGTGGCGCATGCCTGTAGTCCCAGCTACATGGGAGGCTGAGGCAGGAGAATCACTTGAACCCAGGAGGTAGAGGTTGCAGTGAGCTGAGATTGCGCCACTGCACTCCAGCCTGGGTAGCAGAGCGAGAAATACCAGATAGAGGTGATGGGGGGATGATGGCAGCAAACCGTCTTGTCATGTGTGTGCTAGGCGACAATCCTGCATGATCTGCACATGTGCCCCAGAACCTAAAGTACAATTTTAAAAGAAAACTGCAAAAAAATAAAAGAAATAGCTTTAGGATTTGTTTTGCAGGTGATTTTGCCCTTGAGCTTCTTGCTCAGAGCATTTTAAGTCACACCATGATTTTTAGAGCCGCTCGGGGGGTCTCAGTGGCTGTGCTGTGAACTCCTTACAGGTTCCCATCCAGCCGTTGTTTCATTTTGCTTTTGACTTCTAGGGATTGCATTTCCCATCTCATTTAAATCTGTGTCCTAATTACATAAAACATTTGCATGGTCCTGACATCCCATCTATAAAAGGAGGTCTATTCCAAGAAGCCTGCCTTCTCCATGCTGCCCCTTCCTCCCCGTACATCACATTTGTAACATTAGGAGGTCGTTATCTGATAGACACAGACCCATGTGACTTGGGTGTTGCCTTCCCCAGCCTAGTGGAAGTGTGCCAAGCCCACGTTCGTAACAGCCCCGAGCCTGGCCCGCGGTGCCCCCAGGTGGTGGCGGTGGCAGCGGCCTGTCCCTTGCTCTGCGCTCTACAGCACACCTGCGGCCACCGTTTTCCTTGGGGGAGGCCCCAGTGCCCACGACGTTTCATGTTTTCACGCATGTGACTTTGGGTGGATTTTCCGGGTGGATCCCCAGGGTGGGCGGAGCAGGCGGAAGGAGGGCATGGCTTTCTCACGGGACTGTACCCGCCTTGTGCAGGTGGTCACAGGACCGGGTGGGGGGAGGCATGGCTTTCTCACGGGACTGTGCCCGCCTTGTGCAGGTGGTCACAGGACCGGGTGGGGGGAGGGCATGGCTTTCTCATGGGACTGTACCTGCCTTGTGCAGGTGGTCACAGGACTGGGTGGGGGGAGGGCATGGCTTTCTCACGGGACCATACCCGCCTTGTGCAGGTGGTCACAGGCTCAGGCCGCCAGGAGGCCCAGAAGACGGACGCGGAGTACCGGAAGCTGTTCGACCTGGCGCTGCAGGGCCTGCAGCTGCTGTCCCAGTGGAGCGCGCACGTGATGGAAGTGGTAGGCCTGGACCCCCACCCCAGCACCCCCTCCAAAACCTCCTTGGGCACCTTATTCACATTAACTTTTGGTCTTTGGGCTTTTTATCTTTGGCCCCAGAAAGACAACCATCTATCAGCAGAAATGTTTCCAAGGTGCCTGAAAGTACATTTCATGTATGTGTGTTATAAACAAAGGGCCTCATTTTAAAAAACCTTGATGGAATTAAATGTATGCCATTACGATGGTCTTTAGGTCTCTCTTTTTTGAGACAGGGTCTCACCCTGTCATTGTATTGATGCATAATCGGGGTACGTAGTTTCAGGACACAGGTGATAATTTAATACAGGCATACAATTTGCAAGGCTCCAGTTGGTGTGATTATGCTAGAAGCATCCAAGTTCTTCTCTGTCTGTCCTGAAATGTACCGTAAATTATTTTAATGAACAGCCACCCTAATTGATCCATCCAACACCTGGTCTTATTTCTAATGTCAAACCGTATATTTGTACCCATTAACGTCTCTTTGTTCCCCGCATTTTTAAAGCCACATTTTCTCTTTGGAGCTCCAGCCATCAGTGTCTGAATATTTTTTGTTGAACATTAGTAAATTGTTCAGGTGCCATATAAAGATTTGGTTACCTGTAAGTTATAAAATATTTTCCCTTTTGTGATTTATTTTGATCACATAAAAATTATCAAATTGGAAGAGTACATGATCATTTGAAAGGCAAAATCTTTTTTTTTTTTTTTACTTATTATTTTAATTTTTATAGAGATGAGGCCTCACTATATTGCTTAGGCTGGTCTTGAACTCCTGGGCTCCAGCGATCCTCCCACCTTGGCCTCCCAAAGTATTGGGGTTATAGGCATGAGCCACCATGCCTGACACACAATCCTTTTTAAAATGAGGATGAAATGCCTAGAGTCTTAGATGCTCAGCACTCACTCTCCAGGCCATTTTGCCAGGTAGGTTTTTTAAACGAGACGTTACAGGGCCAGGGTGTTTTGTCCATCTGTGGAGTTGGATGGTGTGTGTGCCCTTGTGTGTGACTTGGGTTAGAAGGCCAGCCTTCTGGCTTTGGCCACCGTCATGTGAGTCAGACCAGAAGCCGGGCGTTTTGCACGCGGTAGGGAACATCTCTGCTCCTTCGGCCCCCACAGTATTCGTGGAAGCTCGTGCACCCCACCGACAAGTACTCCAACAAGGACTGCCCCGACAGCGCCGAGGAGTACGAGCGCGCCACGCGCTACAACTACACCAGTGAGGAGAAGTTCGCCCTGGTGGAGGTAGGAGGCTCGCCGCCCACGTCTCCACGCGCTGCCTGTTGACCCGTCGCTCCTGCGCGGGCCGCCCTCCGCATCTGGCAGAGCAGTCGGAGTAGAATGTGTTAGAGAAACGGTGGTTGTCGGCCTGGGTCTACACTGACAGCTCCGTGTGCGCGGAGCTGGACTCCTGGGCCTGCGTCTGGATGGAGAGGAGTGTCGGGTACGGGGAAGGGAGGTGAAGGAGGGGTGGCCCCTGCTTACTCCTGTGCTTGCCTCTAAAAGTTTTTGTTTTTGTTTTGAGATGGACTCTTGCTCTGTCGCCCAGCATGATCTGAGCTCACGGCCACCTCCATCTCCTGGGTTCAAGCGATTCTCCTGCCTCAGCCTCCTGAGTAGCTGGCATTACAGGCATGTGCCACCGCGCCCAGCTAATTTTTGTATTTTTAGTAGAGACAGGGTTTCAACATCTTGGCCAGACTGGTCTTGAACTCCTGACCTTGTGATCCACCCACCTCAGCCTCCCAAAGGGCTGGGATTACAGGTGTGAGCCACTGCACCCGGCTGCTCGTCATCTCTTAATCTATAAACTACTAATGTCCCCATTTTCATTCTTAATGCTGGGAATTTGTGTTTCTTGCTCTCTCTTTTTTTTTTTTTTTGAGACAGAGTCTTGCTCTGTTGCTCAGGCTAGAGTGCAGTGGCACAATCTCGACTCACTGCAACCTCCACCTTCCAGGTTCAAGCTATTTCTGGCTAATTTTTGTATTTTTAGTAGATACGGGGTTTCACCATGTTGGCCAAGCTGGTCTTGAACTCCTGACCTCAAGTGACCCGTCCTCAGCCTCCCAAAGGGCCGGGATTACAGGCGTGAGCCACCGCGCTTGGCCTGCTTCTGTCTTTTGTTGTTGTTCTTGCTGGACATTTGTCCGTTTTATTCCTTGTTTACTGAACAACTTTGTCTTTGTTGGTCACTCTTGATTTTCTGTTTCATTGATTTTTGCTTTATTTTTCTATTTTGGGGGGAGTTTGCCCTTTTCTATAAATTTGTGATGAATGTTTGATAATGACGATTTTTATCCTTTTTAGTTTTCCAATGCATGCATCTAAAGCTCTCAGTTTACCGTCAGCATGCCTTTTCCTTCTTCCTGTAGGTGTGAATAAGTAGTGTTATCATTTTCACTTAATTGGGTTTTTCCTCATTTGCTTTTCTAAATAGAACTTTTCTTTCTTGTTGATTAGAGAAGCAGTGTAGAATCATCCACAATTTTCCAAAGCAAGCACTCTGAAAACACAGGCATGGCATTAAGAAGGCGCAGTGCCTGCAGTGCCGTCACGGAGATGGCGCTGGGCAGTTGAGTGCATTTTCTTCCAGACTTTTTCTTTTGTAAAATTTTCATTATTTTAATTGCATATAGACCATGAGTCTTACATGAAAAGAGTCTATTTGGAAATTTTTTATATTATATAAGGATGAATTGGGCTGGGCGCGGTGGCTCAAGCCTGTAATCCCAGCACTTTGGGAGGCCGAGGCAGGTGGATCACAAGGTCAAGAGATCGAGACCATCCTGGTCAACATGGTGAAACCCCGTCTCTACTAAAACTACAAAAAAATTAGCTGGGCATGGTGGCGCATGCCTGTAATCCCAGCGACTCAGGAGGCTGGGGCAGGAGAATTGCCTGAACCCAGGAGGCGGAGGTTGCGGTGAGCCGAGATCGCACCATTGCACTCCAGCCTGGGTAACAAGAGCAAAACTCTGTCTCAAAAAAAAAAAAAAGGATGAATTAAAAGTAGACTGTCAACTTTTCCACCTCAAAATTTTATGAAAAAGAAAAACACCAAAATCACGTAAGCCATGTTTCACATACTTGTCAGAAACGTCTACATTAGCCCATGAATCAGGCTGTTTATAAAGCCGTAATGAGGAACACAAAAGGTGTGAATAAAACTGGAAAGCGATAGAGGGAGACTGTGTGAAGTATTGGAAAAACACATTTGCGTTCTTGTAGAGCGAACTTCAAACCAAGGTATCCAGGAGGCTGAGGCAGGAACTTCACTTGAGCCTGGGAGTTCAAGGCTGCAGTGAGCTATGATCACGCCACTGCACTCCGGCGCTGGTGACAGAGCGAGATTCTGTCTCAAAAAAAAAAAAAAGCGTTGGTTTTGAATCTGTCAAAAACTTTAAAAAAAAAAAAAACCCTTTTAAAATTATTACTGTGGACTGAAGACCATTTTCAGATGTTGAAGCGAGTGTTTTGTTTTGTTTTGTTTTGTTTGAAAAAGGGTCCAGCTCTGTCTCCCAGGCTGGAGTACGTGACATAGTCATGGCTCACTGCAGCCTTGAACTCCTAGGCTTGGGTGGTCCTCCTGCCTCAGCCTCCTGAGTAGTTTTTCAATTTTTTGTAGAGATGGAGTCTGCCCATGTTGTTCAGGCTGATCTTGAACTCTCGTCTCAAGTGATTCTCCCACATCAGCCTTCCAGAGTACTGGGATTGTAACTGTGAGCTTTCGTGCCTGGCCAAATAAGGGTTTTTAAGATTTTCCCAGATGTATTAGTCTTAAGTACAACGTTCTATTTAAAAAATAAAAGGAAGTGAATTATGTTTTACTGGTGCTATGAAATGTTCTGCTTCGGTGTCTTTTACGTCAGATGTCCACACGACAGGGTGGACTTGGGGTACGTTTGTCTTGCTCTGCCTCACTTGCTGCTTTCAGAGAGATTTCTGGGTCTCAAATGGCCATTGGGAAGTTGGCTGTAGAAATATTTATAAACTGCAAAAGCAGTAAGAAAGCTCATGCCCTTGTAAAGTTGTTTGTTCAGAAGTAATAAAGCACAGTGTAATTGCAAAATTACTGGCTGCAAACAGGGAAAAAATTAGCCACTGGCCGCATTTTTCTGTCCCAGGATTTACTCTGGAAGCTCTTTGTGATATAATTATGTTCAATCGAAGTCTTCAGGCTTTTTCTGTGAATGGTGATTCAGTGTCCCTGTGTTGTGACAATGTGGGATTTGGGCTACAACCTCTTGTAACTTCTTTTTCTAGTTCCTATCATGCCTGCTTTCCCAATTCTTTTTCTTCTTTCCCATTTGAATTCCGTCACAGGACGGTGTGCAGAGTGGATGCATGTGTGTTTTCAGTCAGATGCGTCCCTATCCTCCAGGTGCTCATGGTCTGATGGGGAGTCAGACGTGGGCAGTTGCATTGCCTACAGCTCTGGAGAAGACATTTTGGGAGAGGGCAGCTGCAGGGCAAGAACGTGGGAGGGCCTGGGAGGTGCTGTGGCCGAGGAAGAGCAGCCCCCAGCAGTGCCGCCCTAAGAAGGGCCGTCCCTGTGGCTGTCCCCGCAGGTGATCGCCATGATCAAAGGCCTGCAGGTGCTGATGGGCAGGATGGAGAGCGTGTTCAACCACGCCATCCGGCATACCGTCTACGCCGCGCTGCAGGACTTCTCCCAGGTGACCCTTAGGGAGCCACTGCGGCAGGCCATCAAGAAGAAGAAGAATGTCATCCAGAGGTCAGCCTTCCCCACACCCCGTGCCCGCCGCACCCACACGTCCTAGGATGAATGTGGGTTCAAACAATAGGAGTGTTAAATTCTCAAAAATGACTTTAATACATTCACCTTCAACCTCCAGATGCCCTCTTGGTGAATTACCTCTAAAAGTCATGCATGGGTCCAATTATTACCCAAACAGTGGACATATAAGTAAACTGCAGAATGTCCGTGCGAGGACCGGGACAAGGTGCATTTATCCCGGGCTCACAGTGCCTGTGGCTTGTGCATGGTGTCCATGGGGGTCTCCGCACGGTGGAGCCCTGTTGGTAATGGGGTTGTGTTCCAAACCTGTCGAGAGACAGACCCAGGCTCCAGTTATGTGGGCGACTTCACATCCCTCTTGGTTCCTGGGACAGCTGGCTGTAGGCAGGTGGGGCCCAGCTCTGCTGCTGGCGGAGGCTGTGCTCTGCCCTCTCCCTGCCCACAGCATGACTCCCAGCTACCTCGCTGCTGCCCGGGGCTAACAGATGCCAACTGCAGCTCAGGACAGTCTTTTGGGAGTAGCAGTGCTCTCCAGAAGGCAGCGTGCTTTTAAACTTTCCTGTTGGGCTGGTCCATTACCACCTCCCTCCACAGCCCCCAGAGGAATTTGTATTTTCTTGGGGGCTGTTCTGAGATGGTAGTTGGGCGAGGAGACGCTGTGATTGCAAGGTTGGGGGTCTCCACCTCTGGGCCTTGCTGGTAACTTGGCGGGGCGTTCAGTGTCCTGCAGGCCATCAGGAAGACCGTGTGCGACTGGGAGACGGGGCACGAGCCCTTCAACGACCCCGCCCTGCGGGGCGAGAAGGACCCCAAGAGTGGCTTTGACATAAAAGTGCCACGCCGCGCCGTGGGACCCTCCAGCACTCAGGTTCTCGTCCCTTGAGCCCCCCCTGCACCCTCTCCCTGGGGGGACCCACCCTGAGCTGTGAGTGGGTTGGGCTGGCGAGGTGGGGGTGAAATGAGGTCCCCGTTGCCTGCTCAGACAGAGCAAGCGGCGCCTGTGGTTTCTGCTGCCCCTGTTTCCCGCCTGAGTGAGTCACACCTTGACTGTCAGATGTGTCACGTGCACTAAGAAGTCTGACTCGATTTCAACTGTGTCCCAAAAATGTGGGCACCAGTGCACATGTCCTGTGTTTCTTGATGGGTGTTTGTGTCTGTGTGATCTTTACGAATAACTGTCCCACAGGTGGGGCGTGGGAAACTGAGGCCCTGCTTGGTGTCTCGTGGTCCTCTCTCCTGGTGTGTTCAGGCCTCCCCAGGGTGCTTCTCACGACTTTCACGCCGGTTTTATCCGCTCCGCTGCGTCTGTCCTCTGTCCTCGGGCTGGTCTTCTCCCTCATCTCTCTGCTGGAGGCTTTTAATGTCTTTGGCACTCTCTGGAAAGTCACCAGCAGTGCACACTGCCGGCTCTGCAGGAGGGTCCCGGGGACGGCCGCCCTCCCACCTCCCTCTGCGTGCGTCCCATGTCTCTCCCTGCCTGGAGAGTGTGTCTCGTGACTAACGTCTCTCTCCTGCCTCTCCCTCTGTCTGTCTGTGTCTAGCTCTACCTGGTCCGCACCATGGCCGAGTCCTTGGGCTCGGCCGAGCTGCTCAGGCAGCTCAAGTCTCTGGGCATGGAGAGGCTCTTGCATGCGGTTAACACGTTTCTGAGGCAGTCCTGCACCTACCTCCCCCTTTTAACCTTTGGTGGTAAGACATCGTTTGTTTCTCTTGACGTTTCTCACGGAGACAAGCTGCTCCACCGCAGGCCGTTCTTTCCCCGAAGCAGCAGCAACGCAGCCGCGCAGGCCGGCCCCGGACCCTCGGGGAGCTGGTGCGGGACCCTCTCGGCCAGGGCGTGGCGGAGCCGTCCTCCCGTGGGCTGAGTTTGGCGTCACTAATGTACCGTGTGTATTTTCTCCCCCACAAATGTTTCCCTGGACAATCCAGCTTTACATGGTGAGAACCATGCTGGAGTCCCTCATTGCAGACAAAAGTGGTTCCAAGAAAACCCTGAGAAGCAGCCTTGAGGGGCCCACCATATTGGACATTGAAAAATTTCACCGAGAGTCATTCTTCTACACTCACTTGATAAATTTCAGTGGTAAGAGACACTGCTGACCAGCGTCCGGCCCAGCATGACCTAACGCCACTAACATGTCTAGAATGCTTCCACCTGCCTGACCATCCCCCACCCCGTCCCTTGGTGCACCCAGACGGTGACGTGTCCTGCCTTCTGTGGCGGTGGCAGTGTGCCCCTGGCCTGAGCTTGTTCCACAGGGCGTGGCCCCTGTAAGGCTAAGAGCTGAGGAGCCGGGCTGGCCCCGTGACATGAACAGAAAATCTTTTCAACCCATGCAGGGTCAGAAACACAGGCAAAGGTAATCTGGTGCCTGAGCTGAGACACAGGCATTGGTAAACACCAAAGGCCGTGACATGGGGGAAGGTAGCAGGCGCCCTGTGCCAGGCGAGCCCATCCTGGGGGACACCCGGCCCTGTTACTGGCCACCGGTGGGTGCACTCTCTGCCCTCTGTGTGTCTGCCCGTGTGCTCATTGAGCTGTCCGTGTCCACCTCTTGCTCAGAACAGGAGCCCCGCTGTCTTGGCTGGGGTGCTGCAGGTGTGGAGGAACTGGCACCCCTGCTGCTGTCGCCTCCGTGGAAGGACGGAGCCGAGCGTGGCCTCCTTTTGCATTAGCCGGGCGTCCCTGAGGGTGCCTGTAAGGGTGCAGCCTGGACGCTGCTTTTTATACTGAGTAAAAGTAAAGAAGTCCCATTTTTACGTCTCCTTTTGAAAAGAACATTTTTAGGTCAAACACAGTGGCTCACACCTGTAATCCTACCACTTTGGGAAGTCAAGGCACGAGAATCACTTAAGCTGGGAGCTTCACACCAGCCTGGGCAACATGGCGAGACCCCCATCCCTACAAAAAACACAAACGTTAGTTAGGTTTGGTGGCACCTGCCTGTAGTCTCAGCTACTCGGGAGGCTGAGGCAAGAGGCTGGCCTGAGCCCAGTTCAAGGCTGCAGAGAGCTGTGATCGTGCCACTGCCCTCTAGCCTGGGTGACAGTGAGAGACGCCCTGTCTCAAACAAACAACAACAACAACAAAAAAACACTTTCTCCTTGGATCCCACTGAAGGGCTCAAAAGGTTGCTGAGGTGGCTTCGCCTGCAGCCATGCCCAGCCGGTCCTGTCTCTGGTGCAAGGCCTCAGTGACCCCTTCTGCCTCATGTCCACGCCGCATGGCTTGCAGCTGAGGGAGGCGGAGCTGGTGCCAGGCACACAGCCCCTCGTGTCGTCTCTGTAAAGGTTTTTCTGCTTGGGGGAGATAACACGTTGTCTTTGAACCCGCCCAGAAACGCTGCAGCAGTGCTGTGACCTCTCGCAGCTGTGGTTCCGCGAGTTCTTCCTGGAGCTGACCATGGGCCGCAGGATCCAGTTCCCCATCGAGATGTCCATGCCCTGGATCCTGACAGACCACATCCTGGAGACCAAGGAGGCGTCCATGATGGAGTGAGTGTCCCGCGGGCTGTCTCGGGCCTTTGCATGTGGCCACCAGGGGTCCTCAAGGTGGAGGAGGGGCCTGGACTGTTTTTAGTATTTTATGTGAAATCATGTCTCTGGGCCTGGGCAAAATACCAAGACCCAGTCTCTGCAAAAATAAGAAAACTTAGCCTGCTGGCGTGGCTGAGCGGAGGATTGCTTTGCCACTGAAGTTAGAGGCTGCAGTTAGCTATGACTGCACCACTGCACTGCAGTCGGGCCACGTAGCACGAACCTGTCTCCAAAAAAAAACAGAAGGCATGTTTCCTGAGGTAAAGCTTTAGAGATTAATACAAGTAACCAGTTTCTTGGCCTCAGAGTGGAATCGAGTGCCCAGGCACTAGAACCAGCTACGTTCCTGCTTTGCATGGGTACTGGCTGGGGCCTGAGGCCTGAGCCTGGACCAGAGAGGTGGATGAAGCTGGGCCTTCCCAGGCCTTCGTAATGCAGGCCCTGTGAGCATGCCCGGGAGCTGTGTTGCAGGAGCCCCCGTGACCTGGCCTCTCGTGTGCTGCAGCCTCTGACCCAGGTGAAGCGGGGAAAGGAAGTATTGATCAAAGAGCTTTGTTCTGGGGGTCAGGACTGAAGTCTTTGAAAATGTGAAGTCCGGGTAGGGGAAAATGCTTGGAAAAGGATACGTCTTACAGGTAGCGACCCAGCGGCTCTGTCTTCTGAGCACCACGAGTGGGAAGCTCTGAGTTCCTGTGTGTCAGTCCTCACACTTCCCTCGTGGTGCCCGGGAGGTGGTAAGGACAGTCGCCTTCCACTCTGTGGCCCTGGCGTGGCCATGCCATCCGTGGGCAGAGCCTCTGACGGCTCATTTCATAGCATTGGGGTGGCGTGAGGAGCTGGAAGCAGCCCAGAGGCCTCCTCTAGGCATGGGACTCCTTGTCCCTGGCCATGGCCTTTGTCCGGACATGAGGTAGGGGGAGACGGGCCTTCAGCCATGGGCCCACGCCGGACATGCTCCTGGTCAGCTGTGGAATCCAGAACCTTCATCTTTGTTCTTCTGTTGTTATTTTTCATTTTTTTGATTGTTGTTGTTGTTTATTCTTCTCTCTTTCTTTCTTTTTTTTTTTTTTTTTGGAGACAGAGTCTCAGTCTGTCACCAGGCTGGAGTGCAGTGGCACGATCTTAGCTCACTGCAACCTCTGCCGCCTGGGTTCAAGCAGTTCTCCTGCCCCAGCATCTCAAGTAGCTGGGACTACAGACACCCACCACCATGCCACTTAATTTTTGTATTTTTGGGAGAGACGAGTTTTATCATGTTGGCCAGGCTGGCCTTGAACTCCCAACCTCAAGTGACCTACCCACCTCGGTCTCCCAAAGTGCTGGGATTACAGGCGTGAGCCAACACACCTGGCCTATTCTCTCTCTTTTTTTTTTTTTTTTTGATAGGGTCTCACTCTGTGACGCAGCCCATAGTGCAGTGGCGTGATCTCGGCTCACTGCAGCCTTGACCTCTCAGGCTCCAGTGATCCTTCTACCTCAGCCTCCCAAGCAGCTGCGACTACAGGTGTGCGCCACCATGCCCAGATAATTTTTTCTACTTTTGTTAGAGACACAATCTTGCCATATTTCCCAGGCTGGTCTGGAACTCCTGACCTCAAGTGACCCGCCTACCTCGGCCCCCAAAATGCTGGGATTATAGAAGTGAGCCACCAAGCCTGACCCTTGGAGTTCACGCTTGAAATAAGAAAACAACTCAATTTACTTGTTGTTGAAAAGAATGCTGTGTACTTGTAGTGAGATATTTTAAAGCCTGGTAAATGAGAAGATGCAGGCAGGTGGAGGACCTTGTCCACGTGTGGCTTTGAGTGAGCGTGTCATGTCCCAAGCGTCCTCACTGCCTGGTGGGTGTGGTGGCCACCTCAGGTGCAGCCACCAGGGGCTTTCCCAGGAGCACCATTTGGTGTTGGAAGTGAAAATTGCTCTTCCTTACACGAGAGGTAAAAAATGGCGTTTAGTTTCTGAGGCAAGGAGGCTGTGGGAGCCACGAATGCGTGGCGGAGGCTGCTGGTGATACAGCCGCTGTCCCCTGCAGGTACGTACTCTACTCCCTGGACCTGTACAATGATAGCGCCCACTACGCGCTCACCAGGTTCAACAAGCAGTTCCTGTACGACGAGATTGAGGCTGAGGTGAGGCCCACGCAGCTCCATTTCTGCTCGTTTCCTGTAACTAAATCTCCTTTCTCATTTTGTTTTCGTCTAAGTAATAAACTTTTTTTAAAATACAAGACAGTGTAAGCCACGAAGCGAGCATGTGGCGGCGAGCCCTTCCTCTGTGGATCTGCTCCCGTGGCGCGTGCAGGCTGCGCTTGTCCTCCTGACTGCGTGTCCTCGCCTGTTTTTGGTTATGAACGTGATCTTGCTCTGAAGTAACTCCTGTTTCATTTCTCTAGTCTTTTTGTTTCGGATGTTGTAAATGGCACTCTGATGCACCGCCTGGTGTCATATGATTTCTATAGGACAGATTCCCACAGGTGGAATTCTAGTGTGTGCACATCTGAGGAGGTGAAGATTACTCCACCCATCGCCTCCTCTGCCTCCTCAAAAAGACCACCTGCAATGGTTCTTCAGGGAGATATCCAGGTCCCAGCACTGCAGGGTGGGAGGAGGGCAGAGATGCCCTTCTTGGCCCTGTCTGCCGGGCACACTGGGCCCTGGGTCCCGCTTGCCACCAACCACAGGTACTCTCCTCACAGTTCCAGGAGGTAGTGCTAGCCCCCTCTGCAAGTAAGGGTCTTTTGAGGGTGTCTCCTGACCAACCTCACACCCAAGGGCCGCTTTGTTCCAGGGAAGGCCCAGGAGCCGGCCCTCCGTGGTGGCTCCCTGAGTGCACAGTAAGCGGAGCTACGCAGGGTGGGGAGTCACCTGCAGTGCACAGCAGCCCCTGTGGTCGCTGCACATGGTGAAGACAGACTTGTTCATTCTCTCTTGCAGTTAAGAGAATGGACTATTTTTCTCCCTCAGTGAGACTGGTTCTGGTCCAGTTTTCTGTGGCAATGTGGTAGTCACTCCTGGCCACGCTGCAGTTGATTTAGTGTGTTGTTGTTGGACAGTAAGATTATTGCTAGTTTCTTTTGGCTTTTTGTTTTTTGTTTTTTTGAGGTGGAGTCTTGCTCTGTCACCCAGGCAGGAGTGCAATAGCGCAATCTCTGCTCACTATAACTTCCACCTCCCAAGTTAAAGCAGTTCTCGTGCCTTAACCTACCAAGTAGCTGGGACCACAGGTACGTGCCACCAGGCCAGGCTAGCTTTTTTGTATTTTTAGTAAAGACACAGTTTCACCATGTTGGCCAGGCTGGTCTCAAACTCCTGACCTCAAGTGATTTGCCCACCTCGGCCTTCCACAGTGCTGGGATTATAGGTGTAAGCCACCACGCCTGGCCTGATTTCTTTTTCCTAAGAAGAGCCTCAGGCTGGGTGCGGTGACTCACTTCTGCAATCACAGCACTTTGGGAGGCTGAGGCAGGTGGATCACCTGAGTTCACAAGTTCAAGACCAGCCTGACCAACATTCTGAAACCACATCAATGCTAAAAATACAAACATTAGCCCGACACGGTGTGGTGATGGGCACCTGTAATCCCAGCTGCTCAGAGGCTGAGGAAGGAGGATCACTTGAATCTGGGAGGCACAGGTTGCAGTGAGCTGAGATCGCACCACTGCGCTTTAGCCTGGGCAACAGAGCAAGACCCCGTCTCAAAAAAATAAAAGAGCCTCAGATAGTTGCCTGAATGAAACATTTTGTTTTTCAACTTGTATTTTGATCTTGCTTTAGGGAATCAAACTATAACATGTACTTTCTTTTTCTTCAGGTGAATCTATGTTTTGACCAATTTGTTTACAAGCTGGCAGACCAGATATTTGCATATTACAAGGTTATGGCAGGAAGGTGAGTATCTGGTGTGTGATTTTGATTCAAAATGTTGCATAAGTTGATCGGACATTCCCATTACAATTTATAGTGTATGAAAAAACCTGTCTTCCTTCTATGCTAGTTTGCTTCTTGATAAACGGTTACGATCAGAATGCAAGAATCAGGGAGCCACGATCCACCTGCCGCCGTCCAACCGCTACGAAACGCTGCTGAAGCAGAGGCATGTGCAGGTGAGCGGGGCCGGGCTGTGGTGGAGACAGAGCATGCATTGAAAAAACTGGGTTTTCAGCTGGGCGCGGTGGCTCACACCTGTAACCCCAGCACTTTGGGAAGCCGAGGAAGGTGGATCACTTGAGGTCAGGAGATCGAGGCCATCCTGGCTAACACGGTGAAACCTCGTCTCTACTAAAAATACAAAAATTAGTCAGGCGTGGTGGCACACACCTGTAGTCCCAACTAATCAAGTGGCTGAGGCAGGAGAATCAGTTGAACTCAGGAGGCAGAGGCTGCAGTAAGCCAAGATCGCACCAGTGCACTGCAGCCTGGGGGACAGAGTGAGACTCCATCTCAAAAAAAAATCATAATAAAAAACGTAGGCATTGAAAGACACTTCGTTTCTATTGGGTCACCTCACACACAGGGAGCATCTGCAGCATTCTCTATCTGCCCTGCGGCTCCTGGGGGCGGGCATAGCCTGGAGGAGGCGGCCCTTCTCCAGGAGCCCAGAGGCTGGAGCTTAAAAAGAACGAAGGTGAGAAACACTCAAGCACCAGACAGGACTTTCTCCTGGCCAGCGGAAGAATTTAAAGATACATAGCACTTATTTTTTTACAGTTTTTTTACAAACTGATACACATTGCATGCCTGTATCGAAACATCTCATGTACCCCATGAATATATGCACTTACTGCGTACCCACAGACATTTAAAAAAAAAAATTAGAAATTAAAAGTTACATTACATGCATAAAACTAGTACAATGTGGAAAACTGTGAAAAAAATTGCATTTAATTCTACTGTCTATCCATCAGCAATCACCAGGCACATTTTGGGACATTTTCCACCAGGGCGTTGTCATATTTTTATGTGGAAACAGCACTGAAGGATGGATATGTGCCTAGTACGTTGAAATAGAGATGCAGTAATTTTCTTATTTATTATCATAACACCTGTAAAAAGACACACCAGACTGCTGTGTCTGTGGGGAGATGGGTCCCGAACATCATTGTAAAGGTTGTCGTTACCAATAGACCAGCTTCTCCAGGGTCCCTGGTGAGGCTTTTATTGCTTTTGAGCTGCTCCTGTTCACTCGTTCCCTGTGCACACCAGCTCCTCGGCAGGTCAATAGACCTCAATCGCCTGATCACCCAGCGCGTCTCAGCAGCCGTGTATAAGTCCCTGGAACTGGCAATTGGACGATTTGAAAGTGAAGACTTGACCTCCATAGTTGTAAGTACTGACAAATTTTACTTTGCCCTATGGATAAATCGAAGTAAGAGCAGGTCCAGTTGTTGTGTAGGTAGTAAAGGAGATGCACGCATTGAGCATGGCCTATCCCAAGCCTCTTTTCAGCATCTACATTCAGTGTTCACAATGCTAAATTGACCTTCACGAACAAATAACGGCAGTCTTGAAAAAAATCACCAACTGTAGCAAAAGGTAGCACACCACTTAACGTTTATATTTTAGTAGTAATGAGCTAGAAGATAAAAATGTTTAACTTTTTACCGAATAATCACTAAAAGATGTATATTTTTGGAAGTGAACCTGATATGATAAAATTTATACGAAGGAATGTCAGAAGTCCAATGCAAATTCTTTTTCTTGAGTAAATTGAAAAACAAAGCATTCTTTTAAATGGAAAAACTTGGATGAAAACCATAAAAATTGACCAGGCACAGTGGCTCACGCCTGTAATCCCAGGACTTTGATAAGCAGAGGCAGGCAGATCACCCTGAGGTCAGGAGTTCAACACCAGCCTGTCCAACATGTTGAAACCCCGTCTGTACTAAAAATAAAAAAATTAGCCAGGCATGCTGGCGGGCACCTATAATCCCAGCTACTCAGGAGGCTGAGGCAGGAGAATCATATGAACCCAGGAGGCAGAGGTTACATTGAGTCAAGATCACGCCACTGCTCTCCAGCCTGGGTGACAGAGTGAGACTCTGTCTCAAAAAAAAAGCAGTAAAAATTAGTTCCTTAAGCAGTCTAGAGATTTCCTGTAATCACCACTCGATTATAAGTATTTGATAAAATTGTATAAAATCATTACAAAGTTTACTTGGTAAAACAAGCTGTGAAGATTAGCAAGTGCTACTTTGACTTTTAAAAGGTTAACAGGGGAGGAAACTCGTCCCCTCTTAGATGTCAGAAATATATGTCAGTAATAAATGAAATAGCGTGGTGTTTTTTTGGAAAGCAAAAGTTAACCAGCCCAGAGGAACAGAGCAGAATAGGGTACTTCACCTGGAAAGCTGGGGAGGGGCAGTCATGCTGGTCATGCTTGTCCTCTTAATGGAAGGGAAGAGCAGAAGTTACCTCCATAGGACTCAGCTTCTGATTCCAAGTAGAGTGCAGTGGTTTGTGGCAGGCCAGCAGTACTGCAAAGGACAACCAGGAAGGCTGAATAAAATTCAAAAATCAAATGGGAAAGCCATCCCAGAGCTGCAAGTCCGTAAGGATGGGAGGGACCACAGTTCCAGAGAGGGCAAACCCCTCAGACCAGAGTTTGGGGATTACAGTTGCTTTTGCAGAAGAGGACAGCAGGCGAAAGAGCCAAGCAGCAGAATCTCCAGAAGCAGAATTTCCCAGGCTCCTTGTGCTGAGGGTTAGAGACCTGCTGGGCTCCTAACTGAAAGACGACTAGAAGCCAAACTAGAGGTACACAGGGTCTCACCGGAACTGCATCCCAGCCTTCACTCAGTTCTGTCCCTAGTGGGACCATGGTGTTCAGGCCCCAGTTCTATATGCCTTGCAGGGGAGAGCAGGGGTGTGCTCTGTGAAAATAACTGCTGTAGGAGCCTCCACAGTTTTAAAAATGTACAATGCTTAGCACTCAATTAAGAATTCCTAGACACAAAAGAACCTATGATCACTCCAAGAGAGAGGATTGACAATATAAACAAACCCTTTGGTAATACTGACTTAGCACACAAGGACTTATCATAATTCTGATTAATATGCCCAAGAAGATGGAAGAAACGATAGATTAAAGAGATAAAAAGGAAACTTCCTTTTTTCCCTTTTTTTTTTTTTTTTTTTTGTTTTTTTCCTCTGTCACCCAGGCTGGA